AAAGAAATAGGTTAACAATAATTTCACCCGATTGATTTAGAAATATTATTTTTAAGATAAAGTTTTTAATGGTTTTAAACCTAACACAAGATCAAAATATTTTTAATAACCAAAATGATAAATATTGTGTCACATCTCATAATATTCTTGTTAAATAAAAGATAAAATGTCATTTGCATACACACATTTTTAAAAAAGAATGGATTAATGTATTAATATTTTGCAAGACAAACATATGTGAAGCTACTGAAAACACTTATCTTGAATCATGCTACAATTAACTTATCAATATAAAGTTCTTGTTAGATGTTTTGAACTTTGTTAAATCAGTGAAGTACTTAAAAACAATATTATTTTGCATGAGATGAAAAAACAATTCAAAAAATGTTATAAAATCTTTTATCTAACAAAGAATAAAAGAGTAATTTTGTATTTATTTATTTTTTAAAAATATTTTTTTTATAATTTAGCTTTATAAAAATTTCATAGTTATTAAGGATATGATCCCTTGCACTCATTATGATGGTTCACCTGAAGTCTATCCATAAACTAATAACAATGATCCCTCATCCTTAGTTGATCGATTTGCCTACTAGTACCCTTTCCCACAATTGTTTTAATTTTTCTAAATCCCTTTTTAGGAAAATTATAAAAAAATTATAATTTTTTATTACAATATAATATATTATATATATACATACACACACAAAAACTTTTAAAATTCATTGATCAAGGTCAATATTGAAATCCACTTGAAAAAAGAAACAAAAATGTTGATTTGTAAGTAAGATCATTTAAAATCACTTGGAGACGATGACCATTAACCAGACCACAAAGATAAGGAACAAAAGTGGCCTTGGTGCCTTTGTTCTTGCCCTGCAATAAACAAAAATATAGACCAAGTAATCTTCTTTCCAAAATCTTTTTTTTATAAAGAAAACTACAAGCTCATGACTCACTCAAATTCATTTCAACAGATATTTACATTTGAGAAGGAAATGCCAAGATTCGCGCCATCTTTGGAATTTACTTTCGCCATTGTATAAAGTTTTAAGCATACTGAGAACCTTAGTTGATGCCAACCCATATCAGACATGAAGCGTGTAGGCTCATTTTGGGACAAACTGCATATGGTTAATCTTGAACTCTGTATCCCTTCAAGAAAAAAATCTCAAAAATACCCCATTGGTGGTAGGAGATTTTATGTGTTAGCAATGTTTTCTTTCAGCTTTTCTTGTAAAGAATTCAATGATATATAATCCTCGTCTAAAACTTTGCTCAATTAAATAGTTCAGCATGCAACATA